TAACTCTCTTCTACTCAGTTGAACATCAAGGAAGTGTAATTTACAACTGTCTTCTTTTTCACAAGTGAAGATGAGCGACGCAGGTGCATCATTAAATTTTATTAATATTTTGTTCTTGTCTGATTTCTCAGTAATACTAATAATAGCAATAATAAATTTATCATCAACATAACGGAAAACTACGTCTGTAGGGCAATATACGCACATTCTGGATCCTACTACTACTCACCATCAACCAAATAAGATCGTGAAAGTTAAAAATGGTGTGTATGTGACTATGAAGAAGGCCGGACGAATGATTATTTGATTTCGTCGAATGGTTAGTTTCCTCCAAATGTTGGGTTCATAAGAACTTGTCTGATTTAAGTGCCATTAAGAACGAGATTCCCACCAACAAACTCTTGAAAATTAATCTGGTGCTGGCCAGTGACTGGCTGCAGGAAGATGCTGACTGGAGTTCTAGTGAGAAGTCATGACCAACGAGGTCCATATGGTCGAGATTGAGAAGAAATACTCGCCATGGATGACACTGGCTGGTGATTACGCTAAAATCACGAATTGGTAGATGTTAGAATTCATGGGCTTCCCATTAAGTCGGGTTCCGGATGTTGAGTAGTATGTGGGCTTGGCTTGTTACCAGAAAGTCCTGGGTTCGAAACCTGGTGGTGGGTGCTTACTGCCGACGAGTCCCAGACTAGTAGGAAACAGATGTCTAATACCCCCTGGTTTTCCAAAGGTTCTTTAATTGAGGTCAATCTGTGATCAAACTTCAAACAAATCAGATCCCAACAAACAATCTCTTGAGAACTATTAAAACCCAAGGAGCATTAGATAACAGTGTCTAGAAATTTATTAACTGAAAATCTAACAGCCCATAAAGTTCAACTTTACTCAATTTGGAAAGTATAACCCTAACGCCATTTAGTGTTACAGGTGATTATTTATCCTAGAACTCGACTTGGTGAAGATTATTCAACTTGAATGAAATGACTATTCAGTGCTCTGTGGTTAACAGTGCTTCCCAAAATGATATTGGTTTACGACAACTGCTGTCCTGGAATAATTGAAATGCCTAATTGAATTGAATTGCAGAAGTATAATCAAAAGATAGGAATAAAAATTAAATCGCTTTATCTAATTCCATTATGGGTAAATTTTAACTTGATATGATTATGAGCAATAAATTGTGCTCGAAAAGTCATCAGTAAATATTACTGTATAACACTGTGAGACTCTATCAAAATAAAATTTACCCATAATGGAATTACACTCTACCACAGTGCCCAAGTTTTATTCTTATATCGCTTTACCTAAGTTTATAAAGGGAACTAATTGTCTTAAAAATTAATGAGATATTTAAAATAATCAAGGTTTTGTAATGTAGTCAGAAAACAGCACTCAGCGTGAAAAATTATATCCGGATTTTTAGCTCCAATGTTAATTCAGTGCCACTTACTATACGGATCAGAGACTTTGCGCCGCGTCACAAAGGCATCTTCGAAGAAACTACAGACCTTCATTAACAGCTATCTTCGCTCAATACTACTGAAGAGCAGATGGCCAGAAAAGATTAGCAGTAGTGAGGGATCTCTGGTAATGAACAAACCAATCTAGCAGGAACCAATTATGCAACAAATAAGCAGGAAGAAATGGAGATGGATTGGCCATACTGTGAGAAAACAAACCATCATCAAGTGACATTCATCACATGCCAGGCCATCGCACAAGTAGAATCCGAATTTGGAAGTGACCAGTTGGTTGTCAGTGCGAGGGTGACATGGAGGAGGAGGTAATGAGAAGAGGAGATGAAAGCATGTGGGCAGACGTGGAGCGAGGTGAAAGATTGGCGGAGAACCGAAAGCAATGGAGACATGTGCCTGGAGCCAAATGTTCCTCTAGGAACTAGAGGAAACATTAACAATAATTTGTAATGTAGTTTAGGGGGAAAACAAAGTTATATTTTACTAAGTTTACGGATGTTAAATCATGAGTCTTTCTAAAATACACAAAGTGACAACATTATTTTGCTCGTAATATGAGTGTTTGGTATATTAGGACGAAACACGATGGTTCCTGGTGTATGTAGAAGATGAATACAGAATTTGAAATTCCTTCAGAAATTCCCTCCACTTTTGTTTTCTTCATGAACGTTCACGTTTTGAAGTTTCAAGAGTAATAGTATTTCTAGCTTCATGTGATTACCTTTCTTCTTGTCTGCGCGCAATATCAGATAATAACTAGGTGACGGTTAGGAGTGCATCAGCTGGAAATCATACCAGGACAATGTAAGCGGCTGGTGAGTATTCTACGTTTTAGGCCATCAATTTAGGCCATCCGCTATATATGTTTACGTGGACGGGTGAATACATGGGAGATTTCATACCGGAAAATTATGATCCTCAGCTATCTTGCCTGTCTCGATAGAAAGAGGGTAACAATATTAAGGAAACACCTTGGATTAGCTACTACCATTCATTTTTTATTCGATATGGCAATCTGTTCCGTGAAATGGCTGATATCTTTCACAGTAACAGTATATTTTCAACACATTATTAACTTTAAAATGCAGCATCAAGTAAACGGTATATTTTTATTCGCTAACGTTCCCAGTGGAACATAGGTCGCCTTCAAGTTAGAGGCGTGAAGTTTCAGTAGCAGTGGTGTTTATCTTTTACGGGATGGGATTGCTAGCCTCAGGCACAACCTTCCCTTTTTACCAGTCTAATTACTGGCTTAGTGAGGTAAATGAGTGCACCAGCCGGGATTCGAACCCCGGACCACATGAGGCTTGGTCGGCGAGCATTCTACCACTGTGCCATCGATGCACAATTGGGGGTTATTGTTCAAAAGCATACGTTTTCAGAACACCTTTCCTAATCGTTTGACATATCCTATTTATACATTTTCGATTGGAAAAATCGCCGATAGTTATTTAAGTCGAAGAGTTATTGACGAAATACAAAATGTCGACAGAAGTAGTAGCAGCAAAGATAGGACTTCAAGTGAACATACAGAAGACAGAGGTGATGAAGATCACTAGCCAGCCAACAACAATAGTCACCAATCACTTCTAACGGTAGAAATTTGAAAGCGATCACTTTTTATTCACTTTTCTTGGAAGCATCCTTCCAATGACAGAAGACAGCACCAATGACCATGTCAAAACCAGAATCAGAAAGGCAATACAGATCTTTATCACGCTTAAATCAGTTAAGAAATATACTGCACTTGGGATAAAACACAAAATTCGGATTTTCAGCTCCAATGTTGCTAAGTCAGTCAGTTCTATATGGGTCGGAGATTTGGCCTACGCGTCATGTAAAGCAATTCCAAGAACCACTTACAGACTTTTATCAACAGTTGCCTTCTATTCATATTGAAGGTTAGACAGACCGATAGAACTGATAACAAGAAACTCTGTTAACGAACGAATCAGGGACCTAATGCTCAACAAATATATAGAAGAAAATGGAGATGGATAGGACACACACTGAAGAGACCGCTGGGTGAGGAGGTGATCAGAAGCTATGGGCAATCGTGAGGCCAGATGAAGATGACTGCATGGAACAGGATGCCGATGTGCTGCTTTAGCCCTATGTTCCACTCAGAACTCATGTAATATAAATAATGTTTGTATTACTTTGAGAAGACTAACAGCAGATTATTCAGAAAATCACTTTAAAAACTAATTATGAATTATTCATTTAAGAGTAAATCAGGAATGGTTTCCCATCATTAAGCATTCTCTCTGTGTGTACATTTCTTTTGGTGAATTTCAACTACACATACGACATTTCGTGACTATGAAACATCACCCACCTTGTGTTTAACATTTAGTTAGTATTATAAGGCAATCTCTCAAGATGCGTGTTAGATAGTTTAAAGATATCAGAGCAAAGTTTAATAACTCAGCGAAATTAGTTAATACACTGGTTTATTTGTCGTCGTCTATGAAGACTAACTCCATGCCTCGCGGTATGCCTACGGCTTGATAGACCTTTTCCTCATCCTTCTGAGTTCCAAGTGGAAGATAGGAAGGACTTCAAGCTCTAGAGTTCTAGTAGCCTGATCCTCAGCTTATCGTCTTTTCCGGGCTTACTGTCTGCCAGTAATGTACATGAGGTTTTTGTGGGGGAAGGTGTCGGATGGCAATCGAACTTGGACGACATGCGTTGCTGGCGAACAGTCTACCATCGAATTATCGACTGAGCACGGCTCGATGGATTGTTGAACTTCATGTTTTATTCCTCCAACAAACTCGCGATTTAGATTTTTGTGCCATTCCACAAAAGGACTGTCTATGAATAGACAAATTACTGAACATTCAAAGCTTCATGCTCCTTTCTGTCTGAAAGTAGTACACGTTTTCATTTGCTATATGATCTCTTACACGGGGAACATTTGTTGGAGAAAATCTTCCCACGTTCTATTTATCTTGTTAAGTTACTTTGTATACTAATTTGTGTTAAGAGATTCTACGCCGTATTTATGTGTATGACAACTCTTCCTCTCTTTCACTCATTTTCTCACCTTCTTTCTATATAAAATTCCCCTTATGGGTAAATTTTGTTTTGAAAAAGTCTCACAGTGTTATACAGTAATGTTTACTGATGACGTTTCGAGCACAATTTATTGCTCATAATATCATATCAAGGTAATCACATGACTTCCTAAATTCATTTATATAGTTCCATTGTTTTTCACTTGATTTTCACTTGATTTGATTGGTAGTAATATTTTCCGTATTTCGGGTATATGTGATGAACAAGGATTCAGTAATCAACCTCTCTCTCCACCTACATAGATTACTTTTTAGAATTTTAACCCTCTCCCACCCTATTATGTGGTTGTGTGCTAATGCATGTATTGCAATTGCTGAGCTCAACACTGTGAGACTTTGTCAAAACAAAATTTACCCATAATGGAATTACACTCTACCACAGTGCACAAGTTTTATTCTTATATCAATAAAATACCCCTTATTTTTCATTAAAATTCAGGGTGAACAGAAATGATGAATAATTGCAAAATCAAACTTTATATTGACAACCAAAAGAAGCATTTCAGTACTGATGTTGTTAAAATCCTTCAAAACATTGTTCTGTCATAAAACGAAGTATATAAAAAAAAGTTGTTATTATTATATTTTGAAAAAGAAAAGAAGCGACATTATTTAACATTCCAACTGTAAAAAATTTCTAAAACAAATGGAGATTATTCATTCAATTAAATTTAATTGCATTTATTTATTTAAACAAGTTGATTATGTTGTTCTGATGACTACAAAAGATTCTGGTGTTCTAAACCTTTGTTATAACTCTCTATGTCTCTAACTCTATGTCTCTGGTAACTACTGTGTCTGTGGTTTAGCGGTAGAATGCTAGCCGACCACTACTCACATGGCCCAGGGTTCGAATGCCCGTCGATGCACTGCCAAACTTCGCTTAGACGGTGCTAAGCCCGATAAAGGGTGAAGGTTGCGTGTGATGCTAGCTACCTCATCGATTAAAAAAAAACATCACTGCTTCAGAAACTGCAAAGCTTATGAGGCTTGAAGCTACCCTTTGTTCCATTCGGAACACGGAGAAATGTTTTTCTAGAAATAGGTAAATACTAGGGCATATCCAGACATTTATCAGAAGTTCGTATTTTGTTTGCATTATTAGAAGTATTTGCTCTTATTTAATCTTGAACCTTCAATTAAAGCGTTAAACGATTCTAAACAATTCGCCTACAAACATAGTAGAAGTACTTTAGATGCAGCTGCAGTCTTGTATCATAACATCGTCTTCAGTTCAGACAAAGAAGTCACGCATCTGCTTTCGACTGAGTACCTAGGTATATTTTGTTTAATAAGCTTGCTGAAACTCAAAATGAGTGTTGGGTTGTTAACTGGCTGAATTCTTATTTCTCAGGAAGAAAGCAGTACACTTTATCTAAGGGGAAGTCGTCCATTTCATTGTTTACTGCAGCTGGCATCCCTCGAGGCTCTATTCTTTCTCCTTTTCTGTTTTCTTTATACTTGCACGACTTGCCTCACTCTGATGAAATGAGCTTTGCAAAATATTATGATGATATGACTGTTTCAGTGCCTGTTTATTCCTGGCTAAGCTGTACTAGGATGAACAGCTTTCTATCAGGAATTAGCTAATGGTCTTTGTCTAATGGTCGTAAACTAAATCCTTCTAAATTTCAGACTGTTAATTTCAGTTTCCGATGTAAAAGAAAGTTAAATGAATCTGTTAGTCATTATGTCCGTCGTATAATTGACGATAGTGATATAGAAATCGAGTTTGATGTTGAATATATTGGACTAACTCTTTCTTTTGATCTCTCCTGGTCTTTCTATCTCTTAGCGATTTCAAAAAGAATATTTCGTCTGACTTTTTGCATTAAGAAGTTGAGGCACTCAGGCATAACTCAACCCCTCCTCCTCCTACAGTCTGTCAACTCGTGCATGTTACCTATTCTTCTTTACTGTTCACCCTTATTCTTTCCTGGATTGCTTAAAAAAGACTATGTCATACTTCATAGAACTCTGAAGACTGTCGGTCAGTGGGGTGGGTGGGAATCCCATTGGACCATATCGTTGACATTGTCACTGATAGGCACTTGAGGTCATGCAACAAATTTGCGAAAGGGATTTTGTCAGACTGTGATCAATCACTTTACCCGCAGCTTTCATCTTGTGTCTCCTCAGGTAAAACAAGAAGTCTTTTCAAAAGACTTTATACACATACTTCTTAGTATAAACATTCCACCATACCATATTTGGCGGCACGTACTTTATGTGATAAAAATAGTGTCAGGCATGAGCTAACTAACTGACCTTCCTACCACTAGTAAATAAACAATTTTCTCCATCCTTTTTCCAACAAGCTTTACTGTTGTTATTCTTCTTATATTTAAAATCCTCTCATTTTTGTGTATGTTTATTTTCTCATAAGTGTGAACATCATTTAAATTTTGCAATAATTGTTATTTTTTGTCTTTCCCCTCATCATCCTATGTCAAGAGAACATTAGATTCAATACTCTATAACATGCTAAAATTTCCAAACTGTATCAACAATACTGTTAGAAACAAACTCACTGTTATTGTCATTATTATTAGAGTTATTATTCTCATGTTGTACTCTGCACATTTTTGACTTTATTCCTACAGTAAAAGTGGGCAAAGTCCCGTGGTTAACTTCATTTATATTTTGAGTTAATTAGATGAAATATTGTGACAAATTCTGAGAATTCCATGCTGTATTACAAGTACTGTTTTTTTCAATAAAGCAGGTTATTATTACATAAAAACTAAGTGAAGTGTTATAAGTGGAGAGGATGATAGCATTTAAATGCTAATCAAATGTTTTAAAGCTTATTGACGAAAAGTTGATGGATTTTTTAAGTGAATTTGATGGATGACGGATGTTATTTTTATCCTCATCGATGAAAATACTGACCTAAACAAAATCCTGGAGATCTTCCAAAACTGTAATCAGTCGGTTGAATTTAAAATTGAAGAGGAATCAGAAGATTAATTATCCTTCCTAGATGTCCAGCCTACAAGACGATCAGATGGAAGCTTACCAAGATCAGTCTACCGCAAGCTGACAAACTATCGCAGTTTTGTCCCAGTGAGTGGAGAAACAAATTTCATCTCCTCTCTTACGACAAGAATCTGTCGTTCACGCACTGAAGACACACTGAGTAGGGAATTGAAATCCGTCCGGAAAAATCTGATAAAAAATGGATATCCAACCTCCTTCATAGATAAACATCTAAAGAAAAAGACTGGTCCTTCTCGAAACCTGCATATGCCAAAGAAATAACTAATTGTAAATGTGAAATTTAACGGAGATACAGTTAATGAGGTTTTCCGAAGCCTCCTGTCAAGAGAAATTCTAAGAATATATAGTTTGCTGCATCTATAAGCCTCACCTTCTCCACACATGATCTTGATCACCGAAACGTCGAGGAAGTGATCCGACTGTTGGCATCCTCAGTATGCACTTGCTCCTGTGGAGCTAAATATTCAGGCCGTACCTGCAGGACACTTACCGGCATGCTTGTCAAAAGGAGAGTATAGAATAGTCAACAGCTCAATTCTGGAGCATATTATTACTTCTGATCATGCAGCATCAGCAAAGACTTCATCCAGAATCATAGATAACGTAAGATCAAATTGTTCGAAAGAATTCCGCCTATATCTTCTTCATGCTGCCTGGGTCTTAAGCAGAAATGTGAACTTTGTATTCAAAAGTGCTTTATCCAGTCTCTTTTACCACCATAGTCGTAGTAGTAAGTTTTTTCTTCCTTATTTGTCTTTTAAAATAACTGTATAATAAGCTCTATGTAGTCCGTTTTTCCGCAACTCAATCCTCTTCTCTCTTGTCTCGTATCAACTATTTCCAAACAATTATTATTCATCACTCAACTATTTAGGTATCAACCTTCTTGATTACGTAGGATTATCCTTAGTTTTTCAAACACACTTATCACTCATGTACTTCGATTTGCTTTACTACTAACTGACAATAATCTTTGACCTCTGCTGTCACGTAACATTGTACTGTACAACTTTGAAAGGAATTTAAGAATAGAGGATATCTCTTTGCTGGGATCTGAGAACTGCTCATACCCTTTCATCTATGGATTATAAAAGACAAATTCAGCAGTATCACCTTTAAATTCAAAGCTCATGAATAGCAGTTTCTTCGGTACCGTCTGGGTTCTTTCAGGTTTTTACCTTAACTTCATGTTCTTCTCGATAAATCTTGGAGGATATCCCTTCTCTATGAGGACCTGTCTGAGTCGCCTCAGTTCCCCATCAGACTCAGACAAGTCCTCATAGAGAAAGGATATCCTCCAAGATTTATCGAGAAGAACATGAAGTTAGGGTAAAAACTTGAAAGAACCCAGATGGTGTCAAAGAAACTGCTATTTATGAGCATTGAATTTAAAGGTGATACCGTAGCTGAGATCCTGAAGAATCGCTTATGCAGATCACTGAGGAAAGCCTTCTTCATGGCTGAGCTACGTATCAATTTCTACAGCCGACAAATGATTAACGGATGTGTGAAGGATAAACTGCCGCTTTGGGCCACCTCAATGTGTGTTTATAAATTCATCTGCTCGTGTGGAGATAGTTATATTGGCCGCACAAAGCGCACACTTTCCAAACGCATCTCTGAAAATTATCCGGCATGGCTAGCAAAGGGACAATGTAAGACAATTACTAGCTCAGTTCTCGAGCATTTAGTGAACTCAGGCCACGTAGCTCCACCGGAGTCGTCTTTCAAGATCATCTACAAGGTGAGGGCAAGTGGTACAAAGGGCGCCAGGTTTCGGCTTTTGTGTATGGCGGAGGCGCTGGCAATTCGTCAATCCAACCCCGAACTCTGTATACAGAAAACGTTTGCCCAGTCTCTTATTCTGCCTTGGTCTTAACGTCTTCACTAGTCGCCGCCTGTAATAAAAATCTTGATTTTTCTTTTCAATTTTCAATTTTTAATTTTACTTTTAGTTTGTTTTTGCTTTAATAATTAATTTACTATTATCACTCATATGTTCCTTTTGCACATTTTCACACCCTCTTCACACTTGTTAAATTGAAACTCAACTACTTTTATTCTCACTCAATGGCAATTTTAACCTTATCAAATTTCTATCTTTGTTCCGTTGAGTACCACGTAATTTAAAACTTTTAATTTCTTACTTCTAAAGCCACTTCCGAGTAATTAAATCAATTATGTTACGCCCTTTTACTCAATAATAGACCACTATACGCTTTTGGTAAGTATAAATATGACTGTACAGCCTCTGAAGATGATTTCGTCGATAAAGAATATTTTCTTCGCTAAATTTGTCTTTTATTTTCTTCATGACTCAATGGGTATTTTCGGTTGTCTATGGATTATCAGTGATCATATTTGGGTTCATTCTAAGTGCATGAACTCTCAGATACGCAATAAAATAATTGTTAATCTTTAAAGAAGGTCATAAAGTAGTGGAAGGGTTGCTGA